TGTCTATGACAGGTCCTCTCAAAAGTTCACATATTCGACAGAGGAATCTTATTCAGTGAAACCGTATTTCAGAGCAGAGCCTGCCTGTAGCCTGGTGTGCTGTCTCTTCCAAAGCTCATCTCTGAATGCAAAAAAAAAAAAGCATGTAATCTCAAACACACACATGGATCTGGAGCTCTGCAGCCTGATAGACCCCTGCTTCTAACTCCTGCTGATCAAAACTTGGGAATTTGTAAATAATTAGACACACAGCTAAGGCTGAACGTGTTCTTACCCAGACTCAGGGGCATTTTTCCTCTCCAAAGATGCCTAGAAGTGTTATTGTTTTCCTCCAGTAATGTTTGAAGCAGGGTACAAGGCCCAGAAAATCCTCTGGAAGAGGACTACATTGTTCTACCCATTAGACTGAAAAGGCCTTGGACATTTGTGATTCCTAGTCTATAGAAACAGTTATTGCAGACAAAATACATCAAAGACGTCTGCAAGAACAAATTCACTGGATGCTATTAATAAAAGTTAATAGTGACAAAAGACATTAGCTCATCAAATAATACTATGCTGGTAAGAACACTTTTTTGCTCTCAATAAAGGTAAAAATAGTATTTTAATTTATGTATTTAAACTTTTTTTTTAAAGGCTTGCTTCCAACCACAATTGATAACAGAATGAAAATATTTGTAAGTTTACATAGTCTTGGCATTTTGTATTGTCTCTGCATATCTGAAGACCCTCAGGCACATCAGGAGAAATGATGCACATGCTGGGGAAAAAAAGCTCTAGATTTTGCCTATCGACCTAAGGAAAGAAAACTGTCTTCTCCAAGTGACATGAATCAGGCAACACTTCCATCCAGTCCAGCAAGTCAGAATAACTATGGGTTGGCGTTTTTTCTGTTTGTTTTAAGATAAATAATCATCCTTTGACCAACAGTAAATTTTCAGCTGGACAAGATGCTTTTGGTATCCATTCCTCCCTGCTTTCCTTAGCTGACATTTTAAAGTTTTTTGAATTTGTGAAGTAAATTCCCTGAGGGCTATCCTGCACTTTAAGAGACAGACTTTATTAATTGAAAACAACAAATCACAGAAAATAATCGTAATGTAGGAAAGGCCTAGGCAGAGCTGTACTCTGAAAACCTCTTTGTAATTGTAGCCTCTTTAGACAGGCATAATCAATTAGAAGTGGTCTGATTTTAACCAGTTGCAGGCTCATTACATTGCATTCCCATTTCTGTTGATGAAAATCAGTTTCAGCCTGTGGCCTGGAACTCATATACAGCACTTCCTGGGGCCTCTTAGATAAACACATCAAGAAACAGTTTTATTTGGATTTGTCCTTCACCCTTTATTCATTGAAACAACTTTACAAATCAAGATTAGGACAGAGAAAAACTGGCTCACAACCAGAGATCCACATATGAGTAAGATATTTAATCTCAGAAAAGTATAAAGCTTCAGTTCATAATCATTCCTCAAAAACATTTAAATGGGAGCCTCAAAACATTCATTCTTAACTGGTGAGTTTAGTCTTTCTCTTACTATGTCATGGGACACTGAGTTTCTATTTAATATAAACATATTACTCTTTCCTTTCAGAAGGGATTCTGCCTGTGATACATGAAATTGTCCCCAATGTATCTTCAAGTTTTCAAAGCAATATTTCCAGTTTGGGTTTTGGCTCTCTGTAGATACTGTCTGCAATATGTAATTTTAAACCTATGCAGGAATGAAACTTTTAAGTAAGACAATACTAATGAACTATCTCTGAGCAGAGTGAACCTGTGAAAATAATTGCTTTCCTTACACAGGAATTGTACCTTACAGCACCCACGTTCGGTACAGTCCACATGAGCTTTGAAAAATAAATGAATTCACTACAGTCAGTAATCCAGCCACAGCATGGTGCAGTCCCTCAGGCTCAAAGGGCTATTCACAAGTCAGGGGCATTAAAAAAGAGAGGGGAGTTTCCTGGTGTGGAGAGGTCTATAAAAGCCTTTGTAAATGTGCAGCAATGGTTTAAAAACCAAAAGAGACAAAAAACCCCAAAGATAACTGAAATAGGAAAGAGACTGATAAAGGAAATGCAATGCCCACTAAGTAAGCAAATGAGGAGCCCTTGCCAGGAATACTGGCTGTTCCTTCATAAAAGAAAATACAAAAATAGAGCTGAAGGGTGAGTGACAAGAATAATCAGAAGAGGAGGAAAAAAACTTTGTAAGTGAATATAGAAAGACCAGGATGATTCATACTACAAAGGAGATGAACAGAAGTAGGAAATCATGATTTAAAAGAGTGTAAGAGTTAATATTCCAAAGAAGATCTGTCTTTTCAAAAGGAGTATTCAAACTAAAAGAGTGATGAGCCTAAATATGGTTGAAGGAGGCTTTGGGTGTTGCTTTTGTGCATTTTGTAGCTCTGATACCCAGCTAAACTTTTTAATGTACTGCAAAGGAATATCACCGAGGCCAATGGCATATGAGGATTTAAGAAACTTCATCTTGTAAAAATAACAACAATAAGTAAATATATATTGTAACATAAGAATTATTGATAGCAGATATAGCTTACCTGCAAAAAAAAACATTAAAGAGCCAGGAAAAAAATCTATGCCTAGAGACATGTTATATTGAAACTGCTTTATATAAGGTGGTGCCTTCCCCCCTATAATGCGTGTGGCCCTTAACTAGTCATAAACTGTGGTCAGTACCTGACAGAAAAGACCTACAGTGTACCATTATCTGGAAATTTCCTTTACTGAATAGCTTATCTTGAGACCTGAGATCCATGAGAGAGGAATGCCTCTTCAGAGGGCAGAAAGATCAGACTCATCTCCAGCAGACCCTGATAACCCTAACTGTCTTCCTCTAGTATAGTGGAAGTCACCTGTCACATACTCTCAATATGTCTATGCTTCTGTTCTAAGGGCTGGATTCTGCATCACCTTGCCTGAAGAAGCTAATTTCAGGTGAACATATGATGATCACCAACTTGCTTTCCTAACAACTGTCACTGTTTGAACCGTACATTCCCAAGAAATCACACCAACAGGGATTACAAAATTAGAATGGAATTACTTCTACCAAAGGTCCAGGAAAAAAAAAGAAAGCAAAATTAATTGGTTTGAAAATTAAGAACAGTGCCCACAACATGACTATCTGATATAAAGAACAGTTCCAATGACTTAAATGCAGTGTTGAAATCAGTCATTAAGAATTTTAATGAAATGAAAGAACTATTCTTTAATTGGATTCCTGGACTGACAAAGTAATTTATTATCCACATGTTCATAAGAAATGAACAAAACAGGCCCACAAGAAAGCTAGTTACAGCTGACTGAAAGTTGCCTATACATTGTCACACTTAAAAGTGCATCCCTTCCTCCATACCTTTGTTTTTCTTATTGTTTACAGCTTGTTTTGAATTACTGCACAAAACACTCTGCACCATTAAGACCACTGAGAGTTCTGACTTGTCCTTTGAAACCTTCACAGTGACAAACAAAACAACAAAGAAACTGAAAAAAGTACTCAGAGTTGATTCTTACAAAACTTTCAAACATGAGAAAACACCCTCTAAAACACTTTCAGGTGTCTCATCATGATGGAACATCTCTGTGGCTTTCTGGAATGGTTAAAGTAGCAATATTCCAGGGTTTGGATTTTGTTTGTATTTACAACCCTGGACCAGAAAATGACTTTGGAACACTGTGGAGGATCTTTTTTGTTGTTAGCTGTTCTAGGATCAGGAATACTGTAAGACTATTGCTTCAAGTTTTGACATGGAGCTGTACCTCATTCTTATCAACACAACCTAGGACTAGCTCTTCAGAAGGCAGAATAAAGGGTCCTCTTATACAAAGCAGCTAAAGGAGTCCAGCATTCAGTAGGTATCTTGAGTACAAGTAATATACTGTTGTTTCTTCAAATGCACCAGAGCTCAGAAATAGATACAGATAGTCCACTGATTTATAGAACAGAACATTTGACTTACTTTGCTTCTGAAACTTCCCCAGGTGAGTACTCAGCATCACAAGGACATCAAGATAGGCAGCTCTGGTCACCAAACAAGGATTTTGCCTAAAGAAAATAAAAATCAAATTGCTGAAGATTAAATCCATATAACATCCATGCTCAGAAACATCAGGGAAACATACCACCTTTGTGTGTCTATTTTATTTAATTAATGAAGATCAACTACTGGTCAAATCAGACTGTACATAGAAAATAATTAGGCCAACTTATCTAAGGTTTACTTCCTGGTCCATTCTGAACAAGAGTTTCCCTTGCAGAATCCCAACACCCTTCCTCCATCCATTCCACCAAAGCACAGTTTATGCATTTCATTATTACTGGATGAGTCACCTTGCCCTAGCAACTAGTCAGTCTTTGTTTTGTTGATAGATATTGTGTGTAACTAAATGCATTAACGGAAAGAAGTCTTTAGATCTTGCTATTACAGTTCATAAGAGAAATTTCCCTGGAAAGGTATAACGGAAAGAAGTCTTTAGATCTTGCTGTTACAGATCATAAGAGAAATTTCCCTGGAAAGGTGCCTGCTACACCTTTCAATGACCATAGGTCTCTCACTGTTCTGATGAGGGACCAGAGGCATGCTTGTTTTTAAAATTAGGTATTTCTTTTCCCCAACAAGAATATTTGGAATTTTGTGTATATCATGCAAATTGGTATAAGCAACTTTCTCCTCTACATCTTCAATTCACAAGTGACAGATGCCTATTTTCTCTCCAATTAGAAAAGTAAAATTAGGCAAACAACTTCATTTTCTTTTATATTGCTACCACTGTATGTTTCAGCCAAGCAAAATTTTCTTCATATGTGAACAAACAGGAAATCCAGTTCAAAACATAGAAATTATTCTGATGAGCCCAAGGGGACCTGCACTAAACCAAAAACTTTTAGAATCAAGCAGCACAAGCTTAAAGTATGACTAATTCTGTTCAGTATTTCATTTTTATTTTATCTGGCACTTTCTTTGTGTGCTTATCTTGATGTTTGAAACTCTTTCAAAAAATTGCTAATTAAAAATGTTCCAACAAACATTCTTCATTCTAACATCTCTAAAAGTTAAGAAAAAAATGCTTTTTCAAATAAGGCATGTAATAATGAAACAAAAATTAACGGTTTGAGGTTCTTACACAGTTGGGCAACTGTATTTGTCTATGGAGTGCTAGACTATGAAACTGTTAAAAAAGACAACTGTAACCAGAACACTGCTCTCACTTTCAGTAATTAACTCTATAATAAGCCTGAAATCCTTATGCTTTCTTTTATGGCCTGCAATATTGTGCATCCATATAACACACAGCAGACTACATGCTACCAAGATCTCTCTTTTAAAGACTCCTTTTTCTCCTTTTGTATAAAAAGAGATTTATTGGACACTTTTGTACTAGTGAAGACATTTTTCTTACTAGGTTCATACCTTCCAAAACTTCTCCATGCTTGTATTGGACACTTTTGTACTAGTGAAGACACTTTTACTTCTCCATGCTTGCCTTTGACAACTTGCCTTAAAGCAGGAGTTAAAAGCCTGTCTTCTGAGAAGATGCAGATCAAGAAGAACCAAAGCTACAAGAAGCCAAAGCAGTTTTAATAAGGCCTATTTTTTAAGAGTTGTTACTAGGAAGACTTAATTTCTATCCACCCTTACTAAGCAAATGTCTCTTCTGCATCTTGGGCATCCATTGTGGCCTAAGTTGTTCTTCACAAATTTGTTTGAAGACACCACCAAGAAATACTCCCAGCGTTGGGAGCTCAACCCATGAGAAAACAGAGTGACCAATCAGCCAAAGGCTTAGAAGGAAAATACCAAAAACAAGAGGTCTCTATCAAGTACTCATAAAATGAATGAAAGCACCCATGACAGATTTCAGTTGAGGAACATAATACGCTTACTGCACTCCAGCTCCCTTGCAAAATGGAAGGCTCACTTATTACTCTGTCTCTTCAGCAGAAAGAAAATTTCCAATGTACCAACAGTGCCTTGGGAAAAACATGGCTGATGCAACCTTTACTGAAGGAGAGGCAACAGCAACACTGACATGTTTTTTTTTATTCAGGTCCAGCTTTTAAGCCCTTACCACTTCATTCCGAGTATGCGCATATGCATGTTTTCATTCTGAAATGAGACTTTTCTAGCATAAAACATGCCAAATGTTTGTTCTTGGCTGGTTCCATTGCTCTGGTGATGCTAGTGAATTCTCATCCGTAAAAGCCAGACACACACAACAGCAAATTCAGTTTTCCAAAACCAAGAAATTTCAGTGTTGTTCAGACTGTAGCAGAAAGCTCAGTTTTGAAGACAACCAAACTCTGATTTACATAACAGACCTGACAGCCAAAAATCACATGCTGAACATTTCAAATGATGCACTGCGCAGTATTTAAGATGACCTGTTCATGCAGAACTTCAACAACGAGAGTGGGAAGAGTACAAGATGTTCCTTTTTCAACACAGATACCCAAATAAAGTGGTGTTCTCATAAACAAGCTTCGAGGAAATCTGTCTCTGAACAAGAAAGTCACAGCAGTAGCAAAGGTGGGAGCTCCAGACATCTGGAACAGCATTCCTTTTTTTTGTCCAAAACCCAAGAATTATTTCATTTCCATTCCAACTTGGATATTAATGGAAACAAATACATCATATGCTCACTCCAAATGATAACTGTATGTGACTCTGAACAGGGCAGAGCTAGAGATAGTTAGGACTCTCATATCTAAGGGTATGTCCACACAGAAATATAAAATGGGTATCAAAACAATATTCATGCTTCTACACATGTGTACTAATAGCAGGCTAGTGATGTCAGAGCAGAGATCCATACCTGATCAAAAGAATGCTTTGTCTATGTTAACCAGTAGGACAGTATAACAGCACATCTGGAAATAAAAGGGATGGCACAAAAGACCCAATGGCCAGATGAATTCGACCATAATTTTCAATTCAACTTGTTGCTTTTTGTTTCTGTTTGGATACAGAGTTTATAATCAGCCTGCTCCAGGATTCTCACTGCACTTAGAAGCTTACCCCACAGTTTCCAGCACTCCTTCATGATGCTCTAACTTGGAGCTTGTCTGTTCAGGTGGAAATAAAAATCAGGTCACAGGCAACCAATGAGTTAAATTTCAGTAACAGCAAATACTGCAGAATATTTCAACACACTGACTGAAGAGAGGTCAAAGGCTGTCTGCCCTGAGTAACATGTAAAAGGTAACCAATGTACACGTGACCTACCAGGAATAGGGGAAGATGACTCCTGCAACAGGCAGGGACAGAAAGGATTACTGCTCAGAAAGAACAAGGCCCAGATGAAACAACATTTCTAATTTAATGAAGGAGAATGAAATGATGACAGGAGGAACTGCTGTGTCCCTACTAGATCACCCTATGAGGATAGGCTAAGACAACTGGCATTGTTCAGCCTGGAAAAGAGAAGGCAGTGGGGTGACCTAATTGAAGCCTTCCAGTACCTGAAGGAAGTCTACAAGAAAGATGGAGAGAGACTATTTACAAGAGCATGTAGTGACAGGACAAGGGGAAGTGGATTCAAACGGAAAGAGAGTAGGTTTAGATTAGATATTAAGAAGAAATTCTTTACTGTGAGGGTTGTGACACACTGGAACAGGTCGCCCAGGGAAGCTGTGGATGCCCCAACCCTGGCAGTGTTCAAGGCCAGGTTGCATGGGACTCTGAGCAACCTGGTCTAGTGAAAGGTGTCCCTGCCCATGGCAGGAAGATTGGAACTAGATGATCTTTAAGGTCCCTTCCAACCCAAACCATTCTATGATTCTATGATCATGAAATTCCACAGAATACACCAGGTGATTGAAAGAACAGAAGTCAAAAAATTAGAAGTAAAAAGAACAGAAGGTTTTAAAGGGTTTACACGTATTTATTATAACTGCCCAAATCTCCAGCCTAACAGTATCTTCAGTATGAGGGAAAGAAGTGTCTCTTTTTTCTTATTGCTTTAGGCAGGCATGGCTGAACAGTAGAAAATCTGAAAACATAGGTGCCAGTTAGCATACTCTTAATTTTGACACTTTGTAGCAGATTGCTGGATCAGATCCTAAAATCAAAAGCCTCTCAAACCTAGCCAATTTCTTATCATTAATGCTGAACAAGTAATTGGGGATAGGATAGTCAGACTTCTTTGTAACTGCATTTTCAATTCTGGCATGTGAATATAAAATTAGACACGAATTCAAGTCACCTGCAGGAGGAAACCTTTTGTTAGCCATTAGGAGTCCAGGGATTTTATTCAAAGTTAAAGGTTAATGGAACTAAACAGTCCTATAAAATTCACAGGCTCCTGTTCAAATGCCTTTGAAGAGGCCTAGGTTAAGAACTTACAGAATATTAAATGACTAGAGTAACAATAAGCTATTTGTTTTCAACAAGGAAGTGTCTGGTAGGTGAATCAGGAAGCAAACCCTTCAGGAGATATTCTCTCTCTGGAGATGTAAATCAGATCGGGCAAGTTCACAAGCTCCACATGCAATATCAGGGTTTGCTCCAGCTGCCTTTGGCTGCCCACAGTAGCTCTAGGACCACTCTCATTTCTGTTCTGCCTTTACCTCCTTTAAGTACGACTGAACGCAGCTTAGGTCTGTGTAACACGAAATCTATCCTAGACTCGCACAGTTTGGAGCTCTATAAATATTATTTTTTAAATGTTTGATTCACTTTTTATAGTCAAATCATGCTGAATTTAAGGTAGTCGTTGGTTTGCTTATTTTGGATGGCAGATCTGATGCAACCCAAACCAGCATTTATTGAAGAAATCAGCAATATGTGGCCACAGACCTCCTGTGCACTTGGCTCACACACATTGTTTCAACTCTATCAGGAACACATGGCTTAACTTCTAAAATTAAGATTCTCCTGTATTACTGTTTATTTTAAAGAAGATCAACAGTAATGAATTGCAGAGCAAATTACCTTCTCTTCCAAGGGCAACAGCAAGGAGCAAAGAACATGGAAAACTCAAACACTGGGAAAAAGATTTAAACAAATAGACAATCTCTTGCTCCTCTAACCACTAGGTTTTCAGAGG